AGCCAGGAAGGCCTCTGCAGACCTCTCCAAATACCACTGTTCTGCTCCTGCCTTAGTTTTGCACCATTTGTACATGTTTATCAGTCTGTGCTCCCAATGGTCTTCTATGTGCATAACACTCACTTTCCCACTCCCTACTTTCTTTTGTGAGAATCCACACTATGGGCACAGTATGTATAGTGATGTTGGAGACCCTTACATGAGTTCTCTTGAGCTTTTTACACCAGCTATTTCAAAAATCTTTTATTTCCACAGTTTTTACCATAGTGCGTGCTCATAAGCCAGAACACATTTTGATCCTGCAGCCTCATATGCTTGTGTGTGTGTAAAGTTTTGACTCATTGCAGAAGCAACAAAGATGCTGCCATGAATGAGTAAACTCAATAGAGGGCTTCTTGTTTGAGAAAGAGAGAGAGAGAGAGAAAGAAAAAGAAGCCATTCTTTAGTGCCCCCTCCCTCCCCCCTCCCTCTCATAACCAGCTCATCCAAAATCTCTTTATTTATTAAAGAATAGATTAGAAGCTCTGTGATTCCAGAGTGACATTTCTTCAAAAATGTTTTAAAACAAGAAGTTAGTGTTTGTCCAAGATGTTGGTAGTGTTAGTGAGAGCCCTCAAGAGCAAAACCTTCTATTTCTCCACAAAAGCAGACAAAACACATGCACGAGTAATGTGAACTTGCACATCAGTATTATACCTATGAGCCTTAGTTTGTGCAGTAGGGACCACATCTAGGATGGAGACAGGTCATTCTGCATCTCCATTCAAATCTCTCCCACTCAGCACTAGTGTTTTTTAGTCTGCAGACACCAGTTAAGCAAATTTGCAAATGGCTACTGAGTTATTTCACAGGGCTGGACCTGATGATCTCACGAGGTCCCTTCCAGCCCTAAACTTCTGAAAATCTGTAAACACTCATCACCTATTAATATTTTCAATCACTACCAACCCAGCATATATTTAAAACCATAACCTAGAGGTCTAAGTCTGTAGGTTACTATCTCCTGAGCCATGCTGAGGGTCTCCTTCCAGCACTTACGTTTTACTGTCAGAATCATTTTAGGGAGACTGGAGTTATGCAAAGCTGAGAAAACTATAACAGATCAAAACAGAATTTTTTGTTGGGTGAATCAAATGGAAGAAAGGTATGGTATCTTTCCAAAAAACACCAACATAGAATACACCACCTGACATCTCTCTCTGTACACAAAAACAGTTGCTGTAATGCTTATTATAGCAGGAGGCATGCAGCAGTCACTAAATCTACCCAAGCTCTCTACAACCACCTCACCTTTGGGCCTGAAAGGTACCTGGCTTGTTCACCACGAGATGGCAATGTTCACTGATGCTAGTGCATGCAAAGAGGATGCCACAGCAGGAAGCTTGGCTTAGCCTACTTTGTAGAAGCCTCCAGATGGAGACACTCCCAAACAAGGGCTACAAGACACCTTTCGGCTTTCCACCATCTTTTCCACTTAAGTCAGTCCATTAGCTCTGTATCTGGCTGCAAAGCTTACTTATATTTTATTTTCTGGAAATTAATCTAGCCTCAAAATGAGAGCAGTGACATATCACCTAACCATAAGTATGCAAAAAAAAAATTAGGATACATATCATTTTAGATGATCTGGGCAGGGGATCTTGCCCTAACAAACACATCTGACATGCTCTCTTGGCTGCACATGCTCATGTCCATCTGTTAAGGTGGAACTGTGCCCGTTTCAGTTCATACGCACTATGCAAACAGTCTGCATAAGACTACGCAGCATAAATATCACCTCTTAAATAACAAGAGCTGTCCTTTTGTCAGCACTGAAAAAGACAGCAACAAAAGGCTTCTTGCTCTTCTACGCATCTGCTAGACTTAGGTCAACAGTGGAAAGAGAGATTTGAAAATAACAGGGCTATCTGTGGCTTCTGAAAAGACAATGCATACGTTTAATCAAAAGAGCAGCTTGTCACCACTCTGTAGTTCAGTTTAATTCCTTAGGGTCATTGTCTGCTACACGACTGTCTACAACCAGGGGCAAATACAGCTCATTTTAAGAAGGAACGTTTTCATTTCTCTTCAGATGTCACCAACAGTCAAATGGAAATGTCACCCTGACTAGCCCAAGTGGTTGGCCAACAAAATGATACCTAATATTTCTTCCCATGATACAAAGCGAACTCTATAGTTTTCTCACTGCCTCTCTATAAGAAATCCACTTGGCTTTCTGAAGTCATGGTGGTAAAAGTCAGGGAAAGCAGCCAGCCACTAAACTGTAGCTAGCTCCTGCACAGTGATAACTGACATGACCTGTTTCAATCATTGTGAGCCAAAACCTATAAGTGTTTGTTATCCAGCAAACTAACACAAACACGTCTGCATAATTCCCTTCTAGGGCAGTAAATATTTCAGGTGTCCTCAGTGCTTTCCCTGAGACGGCTCAACTGTCAGTAGCACAACCTCAGTGTGCAGCATCTTCCCTACATACATCCCTTGCTTTACATTATTAGTTAAGAGAATGTCTACAAGACATGAACTAGTGCTAGACCAAGCACACAGTACTAAATATTTCTGACAGCCTGCACAATGTAGAACGTTACGGCTTTGAACCCAAATGGGGAGAGCCTACTGCCATTAGTGTAAATGAAGGGATATAACTGACTTCATTAGCAACAGAATTGGACAGCAGTACAGTAATATTAAAGTTAAAAGAAGGTTTTTATGTCACTTAAGGCTTTAGTGTTTGATTAACATTTACATTTGCAATCTAACATGTAATAATGTAATGATTGCAACAGCTGAAATGTAGATTTAATTACGTAACAGCTGATATTTTAGGATTTTTCCCATCTCAATTGTGCAAATTGCCCTCAATGGGGCCTAGGGTTAGCCCCCACAGCTCAGCTTGTACACTGGGGCTTCATTTAATAAGCAGCTGTTGATGGAGTTGCTCTAAAGAAAGGTCCTTTTGCTGTTCCATTTGGTTACCACTCTTAAAAAATGTAAGGACAAAGCCAAGGGTAGAAAAATTACTATGCATCTGTGACATCATCTACTTCTATACTTACATAAAACACTGGTCCTAATCCTACGCCCAGTGAAGTCTTCCACAAAACTGACTCCAAAACAGGGCAGGTGAGACCCTTTAGACTTTGATCTGCGTCACACTCCGCGATGCAAGTCAACCTCTTCACCTGCTTACCTATTTGCAGAATTTGGCCCATAATACTACCTCACTGAAATTCCTTTCCACGGCAAATCAAGCAGTCTTGTGTCCATTTTAAACAGGATCCCTTAAGATTATTTAGAAAAACTACCACAATAAAAAAACCCTCTGAATTTTTCTATGGCTGCTTTCGCCAACGCAACATTCACAACCGCCTGCCCTTTTGGTCAGATACTACTGCCGCCCAATTTTAATCACATTATTTTAAATGCAAGTCACGTCTACCTAGATCTTTGGAAAGGTACCTCCGCTGCAAGCCTCTGCAAGGCACCGGGCAACCAATCCCATACAGGGGAGGTGTGTATTACCCTAGGCCACCTCTCCATTGCAACACAAGACGGAAGCAGCCTGCCAGCGGTGGCACACACAGCTGGGGGGGGGGGGGGG